CACACGAAATACAAAAGAGCGTCATTGTACAAGGCTCCATTGTTGTAATTTGGGCTAAAAATATTGAGACTACTTTGCAGAGCCGAAGTGATTCAGACTGAACAGTGAACAGTAGTCTGCAGTGGGATTTCTAACGTACAATGAACCGGAACCTTTCCTTATCTGACATGTTCACACAGGAACGTTATCAACCACAACACTTACCTTTATCTATGGTAGACTCCTCCGATATGAACGGTCACCTCTCGCTGACCAAGTTAACTTCACACGCTGGGCTTTCAAACTAAGCTAAGTAATGTTAGCTAGCACACCACCAGCTAGCTAAGCTGGCAGTTAACCGAGCTAAACCAGCTAACCTCTAACCTTAACGCTAACCGCTGTGACCTTCGCTCAGTGATTTCTACGCTAACTAACCTGGCTACATACTGGGAATAAACGTGGTGAAATTGTAGATAATTATTAAGAAGCTACTGTCCGAGTTGTGGACACCATTAGCTTAATGATATGTTATAGCCCCTGTAGTACCAACACTAGTGGTTCCGACTTCTTCTTTGCAAGTCAACATGACTGCCACCTACTGGACTGGAGATGCGCCACCTACTGGACTGGAGTGGAAGGCCAGCGTGTCTTTCCAGTGGTTGATTTGTGTAATTTCTATGATGCCTTTTTTTCTTCTTCTTTTTAAAAAAAAAAAAAAAAATTTCTTTATTTCAAAAGTTCCACATACACAAGAGGTCAAATTACCATAACAGTAGGTCTGACCCCTCAGTCTATAGAGGAGCCACAGAAGTGACAGAGCAACGTAGCAGAATCCATCCAGCCTCAAAGAAACAGTTTCCTTCCATATTAAACTTTACTCCTCAGCTTTTTCTACTGATGATGCTGATTCTTTCTTATTACTTGAGGCGAACTGGATATAGCAGTAAAGAGTTTGTCCTTAGACAAACCTCAAGGTAGTGATGGTCTTATTCAAAATTTTTATAGACAATTTTGGGACTTATCAAAGGACCCATTCCTTCATATGTTAAACGAAGCAATTGAAAATATGACAGTTCCTTTGACCATGAAACCAAATTGTATTAACTTTTTACACTTTGACCTGACTTTACACTGTGATTCCTACTGACTCATACAGTGTGTAGTCATCGTGGTAAGAAATGCTTGATTTTGGGAACAGGGGTTTTATGGTCTTGGTCTTTATTATTGACCTGTAGGGAATTTTTTCCATTGTATTTCACATGACTGTTTTTTTGTGTGAGAGTGTGGGCTCTGTTCCTGTGAGGAGCTTTGAATGCTGAGGCCGTGAGTAGGTAAGGCCACAGGCCAAAGCAATCCTCAGGCAAACGGGAAACGTCCCGGTGCTCCCAACAGGCTGCTCGCCACAAGCTCCCACAGGCTTTGGTCCAGATCACGACCAGGCTGGTGACATCTCATCTCAGTGGCTGTGATGTCAACCCTTAACAATACTGTCAATACTAAAATGACATCAAACATAATGATAGAATCCAATAATCAAATGATATCAATTTTCTTTATTATTGATTATTGATCGGACACATGACAGCAGTAGATGGAGCTACAGGACGCTCCAATAAAGCCAATCACAGCAGCTCCTCTCATCAATCACAGCAAAGTTATACTGCTGGACAGATCTCATAACTGGCAGCACACTGATCTGAATCTAGTGCAGGTAACACTCTGACTATGCATGACTACCTCATACAACCCCATATCAAATAACCCGAACTATCCCAGCGGAAATGAAACATGCATGTTTCTGGCAATGGTAGTGAGGAAATTTATTAGAAAAACCACCTTGCCTAAAATCTGATATTAAAAATATTGAAAACCACAAATATGACTAATTTATTTTCGTAATTTCTAATCGCTAGCTAACTAGCGAGCAGCCATTTTGGTGTGACGTCATTGCCTACGTAACGGGGTTGGTTGGGTGCGTTGGCCAGTGAAGACAGTGAAGCATTTCTGAACCGAGTTAAACTGGAAATGGAGGGATTAATAACGTTATCTATCTCTCTGTCTAACCCTAACCCATCCATAGGTACATAGTTACTAGAACTAGTTTTTATAGTCATCTGTCATGAAGTGGCGTTATTGCAGTCCAGGACCAAAAGAGGGCTCCAGTACAATTTGCATAGTATCTAAAATACGTAAATTTCAGTAAAAGGCGAAACATTTCCTTATGCATAAATATATTATTCTGCCTACTGTCGCTACTATTGGTTCATATTGCTGATTTGTTATTGTTATGGTTGGTCATGAATAAAACCAGTGCAGTAGCGAGCAGGCAGAGTGGACATCGGTCAATCAAAAATGCTTATTTTGTTGTGAGCCAATTCCGGTGTGGTTAAAAATAACAAACAAACAAACAAAAAAACAAGTCAGGTCTCCAGCGGTTTCCTGGGTGGACGGTCAGACACTTTAGGTTGAAAAAAGTAAGAATTGCTCCAAAAGTTAATTATTGTGCGTTTATGTTGGTTCGTACGGAGCCCCGGATATGCTATTAGAAAAAAAAGTAATAAATTGTGGCCACGAAATAGCAATTCGTTCCCACGAAATACTAATTTGTGGCCACGAAATATTAAGTCGTTCCCACGAAATATTAATTCGTTCCCACGAAATAGTAATTTGTGGCCACGAAATAGGTATAACGTGCGCACGAATTACTCTTGGACAGCTGGGCAAGCAAATCAAGCGCACTCTCTCAAACAGGAACAGTCGCTGTCACACAATGGACCGGGATAGTATGGTAGAGTTTTATTTTGGGCTGGGAATGAAATACAAAGACATTTTGAAAAGCCTGGCATTGCAGGGATTCATTATTAGCGAGAGGCATCTTCACAGACTATTAAGAGCCAGGTCGCTGCACCGGCGTAGGTACGACTTGGACGCCGGGATAGATTTCATTGTTGACCAACTGCAAGGCTCTGGAAAGGATCACGGTTATCGGTGGATGTATACAAAGTGTATACAACACGGAATTCGTATCAGAAAAGAAGACGTCAGGATCCTCCTCTCTCTGCTGGACCCCGTTGGTTCACAACTTCGACGGAGCAGACGTCTCTCGAGGAGGCAATATTTTGCTCAGGGACCTAACTTTGTGTGGCACATAGACTCATATGACAAACTAAAGCCATACGGGATATGCATTAATGGCTGCATTGACGGGTTCTCACGCAAAGTCATGTGGCTGCGGGCCGCTCGCACCAACAGTGACCCCAAAGTCATCGGGGGGTACTTCGTGGAGACACTGGAGCGCTGTGGGGGCTGCCCCAGGCTCGTACGGACTGATATGGGCACTGAGAACGTGGTTGTCAGAGACATTCAACGGTATCTACGGAGAGATGACGTGGATGATAGAGCAGCGGAGAGAAGCTATGTCACAGGGGCAAGTACTGCAAACCAGAGAATTGAGAGCTGGTGGGGAGTGATGAGAAAAGAAGGAATCGAACCATGGATCACGGCTTTAGGAGAACTGAAGGATGAGGGATTCTTCTCCGGGGATTTCGTTGACAAAGCTCTGTCACAGTTCTGTTTCATGCCAATCATTCAGGTAAATAACATATAACATATTTTATCCAGTTTATGAGTCCACCGCTAGCACGTTGAGGGAGGTTTGTTTTGCCACTCAGTCCGAACGAACGGGGCGTTGCCAAGGGCAACGTGACGTAAACGCATACCCTCTATTATGATCACAGCAAGAAACACAGAAACTGTAGGCTATGTTACACACTCTGTATTCATTGTTTACAACAGTCTGAAAACACAAACAGATAGACACTGAAACTGATTAAAATGATCAAGGTGCCACATGTACACTACCTACATAACGTTAGGCCAAATACATATTTAAGTCACTGAGTTTATGTTTATTTAATATACAGTGTGATTTATTCTTTAAACTGTTTAAACTGAAAATAAGACACACCACAACACAATTTAATCAACTTTTATTGCATTGTTATATGCAAAGGTCACTGTTTAAAAATTTACAGTGTTTCATTTATGTCTAAATCATTCTTGTTCCTTCAACAGGAGCTCTTAAATGACATCCAGGGTGTTTGGAATGCTCACCGTATAAGGCCCTCCAAGAACCCCAACGTGCCAAGTGGGATACCTGATGTCATGTACATGGCCCCTCACCTTTGGGGTGCAGAAAACTGTCTTGTTCCACTAACTGAAGATCTGACTGCATGTAAACACAGTTGCACATTTTTAAGTTCAGCCCCATGTGACATGGATTTGTTTGATTTGTGCACAATAATAATGGAAGAATCAAGCTTGGAGTTCCCATCTACCATGTCCGATGCTGTTGATTTATATATTCAGCTAAGGGACACGGTTCGTCCACAGTTATTTGGGCCAATTTGAGTGGACAAAAGCATACAAAACATGTACAGTACTTTAGTACATGGCATATTGCACATACTTTTCATATTTGTGCAATTATCTTAAGTCTTATTTTGATGGTTGCATCACCAATGCCCTTTATGTTTCCTGTGTGTCTGTTTTAATCACAGTGGAAGAGATTAATAAATGCAATGTTTGATCAAGTATTATGTCCTCCCTAACAAATCACAGCACATTAAGAAAGTGATGTGTAGTATAACTGTATACTATATGCAGCATATTACCATATNAGCTCTACTTGAAAAGTGTCCTCCTGATGTCTGTGCGGGCTGTAGCTCCGATGTGTTTACCACCGCACATTGCACAACAGAACGCCGTGTAGTAACGTTAGGCTAAGCGGTAGTATGGCTACGAAGTTTGTAAGTCGGGTGAAACGGTAGCTAACGTTACCCGTTGTAATAAAGTATTAAACACAAACCTAATTAGCCTAAATAACTTTACGGCATATCAAGAAGACAAGAACAGGACAAGAAAAGACACTCACCTCGGGCATCACGACATCACAACACCTAGGCTTCTACTGGCGCTCGATTTGCTCACCCAGCTGTCCAGTGCATTTCGTGCGCACGTTATACCTATTTCGTGGCCACAAATTACTATTTCGTGGGAACGAATTAATATTTCGTGGCCACAAAATACCTATTTCGTGGGAACGACTCAATATTTCGTGGGAACGAATTAATATTTCGTGGGAACGACTTAATATTTCGTGGCCACAAATTAGTATTTCGTGGGAACGAATTGCTATTTCGTGGCCACAATTTATTTATTTTTTTTCTAATAGCATATCCGGGGCTCCGTAGGTTCGTGGTGGGTGCGATATTTTTTTTAATTTGCCACTACACATGTGTGACGGCTTTTCGGCAGTCGGGCCATGTGAAGGAAAAGCTAGCAAAAAAACTTTATTGCACGCATTGCAAGAAGAAACAAGATAATGGTGAGGAAGATAACGGAACTTTGGATAACGTCTGTGGATTATAACTTGGAGTATAAAGTCTGGAGTGTCTGGGGTTACCGACTATTGGAAACGGAGTCACGGTAAGAAATATTTCTTAGGAAGTTTGTATCAGCTGTGACTTCTTGCTGAGGGATGTACCACGTATGGTGTGGAATGACGTGAGTTTTAGGTGAATACTTTCAGGCCCGAGTATTTTTAATGGTTGCAGTTTATGAAAATGGACAGTTTTGTCCTTGGCTTTAACTCTGTAAAACTCATTTTTACATCCAGGAGCGATACAATAGTGGCCTCCCTTTTGTCTTCTCCTGTCCTGTGGCTCCTCAGTCTCCATCCTTTTACTATCTTCAACTATTTCACTGCCTCAACCGCCAAGCCAACCAACCCCGTGACGTCACAGGTTATATAACTGCAAGATGGCGCCACTCTTGCTACGAAAGATGTAACGGATCTTATATTTTCTCTTATATGTTTACATTTGTCATATTTGTTATATAATTGTCGATTAGAGTGGAAATCCATTTAGTAAATCACGTTAACTTGATTGACTGCTTCATTTCCACTTTAAAGTTACAATCTGTAACTTTTCCAAATGTCTAAAAATGACTAGAACTATGTTATATATTTTTTTCAAGTTGTGTGCTTAAATTATCCCAGATGTTTCCATCAGTTCTCAAACCAGGGAAATATGTGATTTTAATCATGGTAATGGTCTGTTTATTTCAGGTAGCCTGTCAATGACATCATATCCTCTATGTGCACATTATGGTCGAAGCTCAAAAGCTCAAGCTCAGAAGCTCAACATTGACTTTTATCTAGTTTTATGCCACATACGTTTTTTCCACCTTGGTGGTTTTCAGCTCTATATTTGAACCAGATGAAGGATTTTAGTTGTCGGACGTCTGGATCTGAAGTTATCAGAGAAACAAGCTGAGGAAATGTTAGACAGCTCAGCTCCCAGCTGCTGGAGACGTCCTGTCCTGTGTCACTGAAGAGTTGTCAGTGAATCTCTGATTTTTATTATTATTATTAGTTCACTGGTTTTAATCCCCTGGTGTGTTTGTTGTGGAGAGGAGGACACCTCTGTGGATAATTCAGCTGCTGGTAAAAACCTGCTGAACGTCTGGTTCATAAGTTATCGGAGAAACAATCAGAACAAAGGTTAGCATCATTCTCAGCTCCAACTCTTCCCTGAGTCTCTGTCCTCCGTACAGCGTCGCCCAAACACTGACTTTAAATGTGAAGCTGCTTCATTCAGTGTTTTTAGAATCACTGGGTCTGTTTGATTTCCTGAACCACTAACACTGAAGGAATCCAAACCGTGACAAGCTTATGGTAATGGTGGTGAAGACAATAACTCCCATGATCCCATGCTATTTCACAACGTCACCCAATGTTGTCTTTTGTTATTGTTTTGATTGAGAGACCACTAGAGGCAGAAGTTACAGACTGAGTTTAAATAAGTAAAAGTAAACATTTTTATCCTGTAATAATTGTAGCTTCCATCTTTAAAGGAAGAGGAAGAAGTTTACAAGGAATCATTTAGAAGAGTTTAAAGAGTAAACTGATTTGTGTGTGAAAGAGACAGACGTACAGACAGAAGTATCTGTTCAACAGTGAGAACGTTTCCCCTCTTTGCTACACTGAACACAGAGACACTGAGGAGTCAGACCAGAAGTAGGACCAGAACCCAAACCCAGGATAAAGAGGTTCAGTGAATGTGGTGTTGAATGTGTGGAGGTGGATCAGTGAGTCAGAGGAGACTCTGTAGAAGGACAGAGAGCCAGCAGGACAGTCCACATACACTGCTACTCTGTGAGAGACACAGGAGGAGGAGGGGGAGGCAAGTGTTACTTTGTTATTGTGTGAGACAGAGTAACCACTAACATCAGAGCAGTGCAGACTCCAGGACTGATCGTTCCCTTCAAACCTGCACTCTTTACTATCTCCTTTCCTTCTGATTCCTCTGTAACTCACTGATATATCAACCTTTCCTCTCCACTCCACCTCCCAGTAACAGCGACCAGTCAGACCAGTTGTACACAGCAGCTGAGGACACTGGTCAAATCTGTCTGGATGATCAGGATACGGCTGATCCTCTCTCACACATGTCACCTTCCTGTTGTTGTCAGACAGTTTGAGGTTTCTGTTCACTGTGTTTGTGTCTAGTGTGAGTTCACAGGAATCTGATGGAGAGAACAAGATGCAATACAGCTGCAGTTATTGATACATCATCAGTTATTGACAGTTTGATGATGACTTGTGACATCAGTGATTTGAATGAGTGATGTGACAGTTTGAAGATAGTTAAATGTGCTGATTTGTTGTCATGAATCAAATTAAAAACACACTTACACTTCCTCAGACCTGGTGTCAACCATCGGACTCCACCAGGCTCCACCCTGAAAGAAGGAGGATGAGGGTCAGACTAGACAGATAGATACTTTATCTCACACACACACACACACACACACACACACACACACACACACAATTATATGGAGAAAATACTTCTTCAGTTGTGTTCTCCATTTCATATCGGTTTTGTTTGGCCGCACAAACAAGCAAATAAGATGAAGCCATCGTCACCCCTTAATGAAGATTATACAGTAGCTGTAGGTTGACTATACTTCCTCTGCTCACAGGACGTCTGAACCTCAGCTTTATTGAAGCAGAAACGTGAGTGCTGATGTTCTGTTTGTCGTTTACAGCTGTTTGTATGTAGGATTGTTTCCTTTCAGTTTATTTATTTGCCATCACGCAGCAGCAGGAACAATATAAGCATCCCCAGTTCAAAGGTTCCTGTGGAGTTTCTCACAGCTTGTTGCACAATGGAGCTGTTTTTCTGAGAGGCTCCCTGTTGCGTATATCTCCTGTACGCGCACACACTCACATGCATGGGCATGTGGGTGACGCATACACAGTACTACCAATGGTTTCATATCATTCTACTGATCAACAGGTGGTGGTACCCAGCCAAGATATCGTGCAATGCACCAACAATGATAGAGAAGAATAATTATCTGTATGTCATAGTCATGATTTACTATCACCTAAATACAACAACATATTTCATAATTAGAAGATCAGAATCCCAGAGAGGTTGAGTTGATTATTGATCATCAGTATTTTAGAAGACAGAGACATGATGTCTCTGTCAATTCCTGCTCAGGTCACAGAATACAGCTGACAATACCAGGTTTCTTAACGGAGAGATCTTTTCTCCTAAATGACACAGTGAGTCATAATGAGACAATAAAGTCATCATAAGGAGAAACCCCTTCTTTTGTTGTTGTTGATTTCAAAGCTCTACTGTAGAGATCAGTCATCAGCTGTGACACAGAAAATGTTTCAGCTCTTCTTACTCTATCAGACAGTGTCTGTGGCTGCAGCAGGCTTCTCCACACCTGAGAGTGTCCAGTCTCCAGTCTGGATCCTCCAGTCCAGCAGATAGAAGCTTCATTCCTGAGTCTCCTGGATGATTGTAGCTCAGGTCCAGCTCTCTCAGATGGGAGGGGTTAGAGCTCAGAGCTGATGCCAGAGAAGCACAGCCTTCCTCTGTGATCAGACAGCCTGACAGACTGCAGACACACAAAAAAACACACATGACAGATACTCTGAGAATAATGCTGTGTGCTGTCAAAAAACAGTTTTCAGAAAAATAATTAAAAGATACTACAGTGAGGCTGTACCCAGACAGAGTCATGCTTCGAGTTAAATGATAACATCAACATGCTAACATGCATCCAATGAAATGAGGCTGTCACTATTGTTGTTGCTGGGGCAACACAATCCTACACAGGTTAGCTCTCTTTCCACTACTATGAATCTAAATTTAAATGGACATCAGCTAAACAGGTTAATGAATCCTGACCTGAGAGTTTCCAGTGCACAGTGTGGACTCTCTAGTCCAGCAAACAGAAGCTTCACTCCTGAGTCCTGCAGGTTGTTGTTACTCAGGTCCAGCTCTCTCAGACTAGAGCAGTGGTTCTCAACCTTTTTGAGTAGCGACCCCAATTTATCATGCACTGCTGTTCGCGACCCCCCCCCCCAAAAAAAAATAAAATAAAATAAAATAAACCCACACCGTTATATTTACAAAAGAAGCACGTATGATCACATGACATGTAATAGTTTCCTTATTTTATTTTGAAACAATTTTGAATTTGATGAAAAACATAAATCAGCATCGATATCTTTTCAAACGAGATAACAGACAGATTTCGCCACATCCCATCATAGGCTACTGCTTATTATTAATTGTTAGTGTTATAGCCGCCATCGCTCCATTTTTTTTTTTTTTTTTTTTACAAATATATGCTAGCGAAACTGCTACTGTTGCTGCTGCTACCAAAACAATAACGCCGGCTTTGTTTATTTTTCCCGCTCTGTGTCACTGACCACTCTCACGCGCACAGTAGCTACAGATCATGCCGCTGATAGGCTACAATGAATTAGAGACAAACCATGAAGCAGTTATGAACTAAAAATAAAAAAAAAACTCCCTGTTTGAAATGATGTAATTTAATATTGGTATACTTGAATTTATTAAATGATTAAAATGATTTGGCGACCCCTAGAAATCATCTCGTGACCCCAGTTGGGGTCGGGACCCCAAGGTTGAGAATAGCTGAGCTAGAAGACGCGACTAAATAAAAGACATGGCGGACGGATTCCGGAGGCCGGACCCACTCGGCCATTGAACGTGAGCGGTCTGTTGTATACGCGGGAGAAGTGAGAGAGCCCGGCGTGGATGGAAACATCCTAGTTCCCGCTGAATCCTAAGAGGATCCCGAGTGCCTCAAGAAAAAGTTTCGAGAGATGTGCAACCCCCAAACTATCATCATGAAAAGACACAAGTTCAACACACGTAACCAAGGAACTGGTGAGAAAATTGAATCTTATGTCAGTGATTTAAGGATTAAAGCAAAGAGCTGCAACTTTGGAGATCTCTATGAGGAACTTATTAGAGACAGACTGGTCTGTGGCATCAATAATGACAATCTGAGAAAAGTGTTATTGCGTGACAATGATTTGACATTAGCTAAGGCTGTTTCCATATGTCAGATTCATGAAGTGACAGAAGAGCATAATAAAACACTAGCATTCCCACAACACTCTGCCGCAAGTGTTGATGCAGTACAGGCTAAGTTCATGAGAAAACAGAAACATGAGACAAGGATGAGAAACCATGCAGAAAAAAATGTAACACAGTACATTGCTAACTGTAACAACTTTGGAGGCAGTCACGCTGCTAAGAAAGATAAGTGCCCCGCTTTTGGACAGCAGTGCCATGCATGCAGAAAATGGAACCATTTTAAAAAATGCTGCAAGTCCAAACACCAAACCTATAACAGGCAGAAACCTAGAAGGACTGTTCATGAGCTAGAGCCCAACCAAGCTGATAACACAACAGATGAGACATTTTATGTCGATGGTGTATCGTTACAAATGAGTGTTGATTCAACTGATGCACAGATATAAGAAAATAATGAGGCTTTTGTCACTGTGGAAGTTAACAGCATCTCAGTTGAGATGAAAGTAGACACATGTGCAAAGTGTAACGTTTTGCCAAAAAAGACATTTGAGCAAATTAAGGACAAAGAACAAACAACAGGCACAAAACCCACAAACCTTGTTGCATATGGTGGCAGCAAAATAAAGACTCTAGGTAAAGTTAAGCTGCAGTGTCACCTAGAGGGACAGTTGCACACACTGCCATTCTGCATTGTTCAGGAAGATGTTTTGCCACTGCTAGGGCTACGTTCATGCAGGCAAATGGGGCTGGTCTCATTCAGCAAAGAGGTTCATCAGCTTAGCCTCACTGATGATGATGATGATGATGATCTGTCACACCAAATTCAAGCTGAATACAGCGACCTCTTCTCTGACGAGCTGGGAAAGCTACCTGTAACCTATTCCATGACACTCGACCCGGATATGAGACCTGTTGTTCGTCCTGCACATCGTGTACCTTTGGCTATGAAAGACAGAGTTAAAGCTGAGCTGGACAGGATGCAAGACCTTGGAGTCATCACTCCTGTCTCAGAGCCAACTGATTGGGTGTCATCCATGGTCGCTACCAACAAAAAGGACAAGCAAGAAATCCGAATATGCATCAATCCAAGAGACCTGAACACTGCTCTGAAAAGACCACACCACCCTATGCGTACTGTTGAAGAAGTGGCTGCACAAATGTCAGGTGCTACTGTGTTTTCGGTCTTAGATGCAAAGTGCTCCTTTTGGCAGATCTCACTTGACCACAGATCTTCAATGCTAACCACATTTAGAACTCCATTTGGTCGATATAGATTTTTGAGGATGTCATTTGGACTCAACTCTGCCAGCGAAGTGTTCCAGCGCTCTGTGGAGCAGATTTTCACTGGATATCCCTATGCAATCATAGTTGACGACATACTGATTGGAGGCAAAACCGTTGAAGAACATGATGCCAACATGAGAAAAGTGCTCAACCGTGCCAGGGAGGTGAATCTGAGGCTCAATCCTCTCAAGTGCAGGTTCCGGCTGAACGAGGTCAGCTATGTTGGCCATGTTTTCACAAATGACGGTCTCAAAGCAGACCCCACCAAGACAAGGGCTATCAGTGAAATGCCAGTGCCAGCAGATGTGCCAGCTCTGCAAAGATTTCTAGGGATGGTCAACTACCTTGGAAAATTCATTCCGAACTTCAGTGAGCTGACAGCTCCACTACGACAACTCACACACGAAGACACTGACTGGGCGTGGCATGAACAACAGCAAGACGCTTTTGAAGCACTGAAGAACCACATGTCTAGCCCGCCAGTCTTGTCATACTATGATGTCAGCAAGTCAGTGACACTTACCTGTGATGCTTCACAGTATGGGCTTGGTGCAGCATGTTTGCAGGAAGGAAAACCTGTGGCATATGCTTCACGGACATTGACTGACACGGAAACTCGATATGCGCAGATCGAGAAAGAGCTGCTGGCCGTGGTCTTTGCATGCTCGAAATTCAATGATTATGTCTATGGCAAGCCAGTGACCATAGAAACAGACCACCAGCCTTTGGTCACCATACTAAAAAAGCCCATACATGCAGCACCAGCGAGACTGCAAAGGATGACGTTAAGACTTCAAAAGTACAGCATCACACTCATCTACAACAGTGGAAAACAAATGTACCTGGCTGACACTCTGTCCCGAGCTCCCAGGAGTTCCACAATTCAAGATGCTGCGGAGAAGGACAGCTTTGAGGTGATGACAGTCAATTACATATCTTCTTCTCGCCTCAAGGAATTAAAGAGACACACAGCAGACGACACACCCCTGTGATCATCAGACATGAGTGGCCCAGCAAACAGCGTAGTCTTCCTCATGCTGTCCGTCCTTATTTTCCTTTCAGGGATGAACTAACTATTGAAGATGGTGTCATTATGAAAGGCCACAAGTCAGTCATTCCCTGCTCTCTACAGAAAGAATATATCAACATCATGCACAGAGGACATCCTGGTGTAGAAGCTACAAAACAGAGAGCAAGAGGCATAGTTTTCTGGCCCACAATAACAGACGACATTAAAAAAGAGACACAGTCATGCTCTGTGTGTAACAGCACAAAACCACACCAGCAGAAAGAACCACTCAAGCTGCACCCAGTCCCAGACCTTCCTTGGTCAACTGTGGCAACTGATATCTTTGATTGGCACAATAAACAGTATTTAGTTCTGGTGGACAGGCTGGTATGAGATTGACTTGCTCCATGACCTCACCTCAGCAACAGTCATTGCAAAACTCAAGAGGCACTTTGAAGTGCATAGAACACCGCACACACTCATATCAGACAATGGGAGACAATTCACAAGCCAGCGCTTCAAAGACTTTGCTACTCTGTGGGATTTCACTCATGTTACCAGCAGCCCAGAGTATCCTCAATCTAACGGGTTAGCTGAAAGAGCTGTTCACAGTGCTAAACAACTCATGGAGAAGTCACACAGAGACGGGGCCGATGTCTTTCTTAACCTCCTAAACCTCAGAAACGTGCCACGTGATGCAAAGCTAGGATCACCTGCACAGAGACTGATGTCAAGGCAAACACGCACCACTCTCCCAGTCTCAAGCAAGCTGCTTGAACCACACATGCGTGAACCACAGCAGGTAAAAGCCCAGCTTCTCAAAAAGAGGCTGTCACAAAAGTTGTGCTATGACAGGTCAAGCAGACCACTTCAGCCTCTGATGGAAGGACAGGTTGTCAGGTTGCAAACCTCACAAGGTTACAACCGCACAGGCATGGTAAAGGAAATCTGTAAAGAGCCCAGATCTTACGTCATCCACTCAGAAGGAAAGCTGTATAGGAGAAATCGCCGACATATCTTGCCTGTAGTTGAGCCTGCCCCAGCACAGACCACTTTAAGTGACACTGACCAACAAGACACTGAACAAAGGACAAAAGACTGGGACACTCACACAAGTAACAGACCAGAGATGATGGACACTAAGCTAGTTGAGATGCCACCAGTTAAACTTCCCTCAAACACCACTGAAAGTCCATACAGAACCCGCTCAGGTCGTATTAGCAAGCCAAACCCCAAATACAGAGACTAACTACAATTGTCAGTTGAATATAAATACGCATATTGTTCAGGTTGACTCATGTTTGTGCTAAAGCTGACAGCTATGTGTACTGGTTAATTTTTCAAGTATGTCTGTATGTTGAAACATTAATCCTGTTTTCATTATGGGTAGATTTGCTTGGGTATTGTGACTGATAATATTATTTACATTTTAAGCAGAATGTTTTTGTATTTCTCACTTTATCTGAATGTCATTTCAGTTACTGAGTAGGTATGCTTAATACTAGTTATTTTGGACGTTTAAGTATGCTCTGCTACATTTATTTTGTCCCTAGACGGTTTTGTTATTATATGGAGTGTAAACTAAGGAAAGGGGATGTAGATCAGTCATTGCTCACAACTATATTGAGCTGTTACGGATGCCGTAGTTTCAGGATGTAATCTGGTATCCTGCGCATGTGGTTACTGGGCATTCAAGTCAACACACATGGATGTATGTTTGTACCAGTGGCGGCTGCTGGTCTTATAAGGAGGGGAAGCTCATTTTCGGCCTTCATCATAAAATGTGTCCTTTTATTTATATGTAAATTCGCAGAGTGACAGAAGAGAGTCGCCAAACACAACACTAGTCGTTTTTAACAAAGACAAAGTCGCTGAGGATCAGTAACGTCTCCAGATCAACTCCGAACAACAGAATGAAAAACTTGAAAAATGCTCCGGTGGATGCTTATACTTCAAGATCGCTGATTCGCTCATTTCGCTGTCAATCAAAAAGGGACTCAGCCTCAGACAGATCATCCAATCATGACCACTTATTTTGTTGACATTTTAGGGGAAGCTGAGCTTCCCTTGCAGTCTTAGAGCAATCGCCTCTGGTTTGTACGGTCTCCTCTGCACTGTGGTTATTAAACCAAGTTTGAAGCTACATTACAAGTCTTATTTCGAAGCACATCTTTCCACATAATGTAAAAGACACCGGGAGATAGCAGACAAAACAAATAGGTGAAAATATTCTGCCTATACTTCACCTGGTTCTCTGTGAAGTCCCGTGTGCGTGCGTGCGTGTGTGTGTGTGCGTGCTGAGCAGGGACGTGCACAGACATTTTGACATTTCAAAGGCATCTCTCCTTGACTCTACCTCCCTCATTCAAAATGGCCGCCACTTTCTCCAACTGGTTAGGGGAGTTTGTTTGCTGAATCTGCTAGTGTGTTTTGTCCGAGTTGTTAGTCATAATGTAGATATCATATCATATCATAATGTAGATTTTTAGATTTATTAAGTTGCAGTCAGATAGATAAATAACAAATGATAGAAAGACTGAAATTCTGACAGGATCATGCAAATGTAATGTGACTTCAATACCTTTTCATGTTGATAAGAACCTGCAGCCACTGGACAAGAGAAACAAAAAGCTACAGAAAGAGGTCCATCATTACTTGCCAATGTTAGACAAAAAACATTTTTACAGATTCTTCCGTATTATGAGAAAATTTTTTTAAAAGTTTAACGAATAGTGTGCTGTATTTTAGTATTTGTTTTTCCATGAACTTTGTGGTGTGGAGTTATTATCAGAGAACAGACATGGGAAATCAGTGTTGAAATGAGAGTCTTCCTCTGTTCTGGATGTCAACACATCAGCATCTAGTTTGTGATGAAGAGGAAACAGAGACGGTAACAGAGAATTCAAATCAAAGGTTCACTTACTCAACTTCTTCCCGTGAATGGTGTCAGTCTACAGCTCTCTGCTTCAGAAGAAACGCTCTCTACATATGGTTCAATAAGAACTCCATCCAACCTTCTTCATCGGGCCTCTTGTGCCTGCAGGTAGCTGTCATGCCTGAAACACTTCAGTATCAAATTATAAATCAGTTACATTTGTTCTGAACCTGCAGCACTGAGGTCAAAGATCAGCTGCTGCAGCTTCAAATCACTATTAAAAAAAAATGTTAGTATTTAACTGTCTACTCTAAACTGAAAAGCTGCTTTCCTGCGCCAACTGTAACATTCTGTCAAAAAATAAAAACATTTTCTATTTATTTATAAAAGTTTTAAAGTTTTTACAGGCCCCAACAGTGTCATTACCGGCTCTGTCAGTGTCATTTATGTGGCCGGTCCCAGTGGATAAATCCAAGGCTGAATTTCTTTCCCAGTCCGACCATGGAGCCAATACTGGTCTGACGTTACCAAAAGGAGAACCCTATGAGCTGCTAAAGTGTCCAGCTTGACTCAGAACTGGTTTTTCTTCACCTCCATGTGTAAATAACTTGATGGGTTCGTAATGTAATGTCTGTTTTCATTAGCAACCGCAATTAATGAATTGCTATCACTAGCTGGCTGACTGTCAGCCAGAGTTCACACTAGTTCAAAGTTCAGTTCAGTTGTTGGATTGTTCTCTCATGTACACAGGGTAACTTTATTCAGTTGTGCTTCTTGTGTGATGCTTTCACTGGGCTCTGTAACATCTTGTATATTTTGGTCTGAGATGCTGGTGGTCTGGTGTGAAATCTAGTGACAGTGACAATCATTTACAGAACCGTGAATGTCCTGAGGGTAATTATGCAGTGTACCTGAAGTGGGGAGCAGAGAGGGTGAACGTCTCTTTGTAGAGTGGTAATGAGGAACTGAACTACACTTGAATAGCTGGAGGCTAACAGTGAATCAGTCTTCCTGTGTTTGATCTTTAACAACATACTCAAGTGTTATGATCAGTGTCCAGGGTGTTGATCCTTAGACCTCTTTGAGTGTGTGTTTTTGCTCTGTTCTCTTGAATCAAGGCCCTGATGAGCAGAGTGGAGTCAGATTCGCCAAGCCCAGTGCAGGATTGTGCCAACTACTAAATTTATCCTTGGGGCCATTAATCCACAACTGCTGTCTGTTGACAGTCTCAACACATCCTCAAATCTCAGCCCCAGTTTTCAGACAACTGACAGAGCCAACACCTTCATTACAACAAAAAGCTAGAGGCCATAGGAAAACATCCTTGTTTTTCTTGGCAGTACTTCAGGCATCAGGTATGTATTTAGTAAGGTAAATTTATTTGTAGGGCACCATGCATAAACCACGGAATACAATTTGCTTTACAAAAGATATAAAAGGGATTAAGCTGCCACAAGAAGCTCAAAGCAAAAATAAAATGTCAGTATAAAAAGACATGAATTTAACATGAGTGAAAAAGAGTAGAAGATAAAAATAAGGTAAAATGAGACACAAACAGTAGAGTAAAAACTACAGTTCAGCTACAGTGCAGTTCAAGATATGAACAAACTGTCCATAATTTAATGAAATGAATCTATCTTTATGTAATTCTCATTTTAAAAAACTCTTTGGATCCTATGTTACACCTGGCGCTGTCAGGCTCAGGACACAAAGGTTGAACCCAAAAGCACGACCAGAGAGGCAGTTAACAATAAGGCAGTTTATTGATCTAAATCAATGAATCCTGACAACGGCGTTCCAGAAAAACTTGCAAGCTCAGAGGAAACAGGCGAGGAATCCAATGGGGGGAAAAACTGAGAGACGTGGTCAGGCGGGCAGGGTTGAAACACAGACAGGCAGAAGAAGGCAACGGTGCCGACAGGGAACAGGCAGATCTCAGGAAACGGGTAATAGAAACGGTCTCTCTCCAAATGGCAGTCAGGAAAACGCTGGTAAGTAACTCACTGGGGAAGAAAACAAACTGGCAAAGTGAAAAGGGACCCACAGGGCATAAATACTGTTGGGAATAATGAGACACAGGTGAAACACATTAGGGAGAAGGCAGGTAATCACACGGGAGTAAGTAAAGACACAAGAGGGAAACTACCAAAATAAAACAGGAAATGACAAGACAGACATAAAACACTAAGGCCTGGGGACCGTTGTGACAGGCGCAAAGCACAACCCAAGTGCCTTTGCTAGTTTCAGACTTCAGCAGTTGTCATTTTCTCGTACAACGCCCACGTTTTTCAAATAGCAATACTTGCACCAATCTGAGTACCCGCGGGCGTGTTGGTCTTAAATTAAGGTGTGGTCAGGCGCATTGTTGGTGCTTTGCTATCCCAAGGCAGTGGAGAGCAGTTGTGCAACTGACCAACAAAAACCTGGTCTGAAATCAGTGGCGCCACCATTCAAATAGCAACCCTAAATGCACTTGGACCATGTGCCTCAGACCATTCACTTTGGACTTTTAACATGCAGCCCATTTCAGACAGGATAGTACAAAGATATGATGTCAGGCGCATATGTAAATGAAACAATTCTAAAAACCCTGTGCCTATGTATCAAGGCTCAAATGAGCTAAGAACAGAGAAAGGCACAACAAAACTGTGAATATAAAAGGAGCTATCGCTAAATTTTCTCTGCAGCTAAATGTATTTTCCTGCTCTGGAGACAGCTATTGCTAAGTAAAGGAATGAATGAATGATGAATGATGCTGAACTCACAAAGTTTCTTCGTTAGCAAACGTTAGCTATGTAGTGACAGCAAAACTTACATATGGCTCCTTTAAGAGAGCTAAAATCAACTAAACACAGAGACAATCAGTAAAGGACTCACTCACCACAGAGTTTACAGTAACCTTTAACTCTGGGTGTTGGGAACCAAACAGTCAAAAGACAAGTAAGCACTTTTACTTTTCAAAAGAAGGGTTTTTATTTCACCCAAAACATATCACAAATACAAAAAAATTAAAATAAATAACTTTGGTAAATAACTGGGCCAATGGTAATTTTGTGGTAGAGTATGTGAAACTGTAAACCTGTTTTTGAATTTGTATGTTAAGTGTGGTGAGACTGGATGAATATTACCATATTTCACCCCTCCACAGCAGAACAGAGCCACTACATCCCTTCATTGCAGAGGTCCAGCATTCAGACCTAGACCATTCTCTTGGTGTAGACCACACGTGACCTCACAGACCTGTGGAGAACATGAAGGACGACTCATCTGTCCATGACCGCCTCTGGTTTCTGCACCTGAACTCTCAAATGTGGACTCATGTTTGAAGGAGGAAGCTCTCACTGAGTCTGTAGAGGAGGCCCTGATGCTGGATGGTAGGAGGGGCTCTGCTGAGGGCCATGGAGGTGCACTGCAGAGAAGGGAGAGAGGCACCGGTGATCTTCCCACCTGCATAAATGATGCATGCAGGTGGTCTGGATTCTCTCAGTTGTGCCTCTGTACCGTGTGATGGCGACAGGAGGGAGATGCAGGAAGTGGACATGCTGCTGTGCTAGAGCTGTCACACAGGAGAGGCCTAATGCTGCTGGCCCTCTCCACAGTGGTTTCATCGACATCAGCTGTGTCAGCTCGCGTCTCCAAGTCCAGGTCCACCTCCTCTCTTGGAGCTGACAGCCCTTGGCTGTCTTGGAACGTCTGGTCGCATGTTTTTGTCTTTTCAATTTCTTTGTTAAATCTCACCTTTTGTGTTTTATCTTCTGTACCATTTATATTAAAAAAGAGGAAAAAACAGAAAAGAACTGAAATTTTCAGTGAAACATTTGTAGATTAGCTCCTCCTTTAACCTGTAAATAACACACAGAACAAGCTGAGTGCCTCAGATGCTTTTATTCTGAAAAATAAGAAATCTCTGAGCCCACAGATTACAAACAAAGACTGTGACTGTATAGTTTTATGATTACTTTAAATCAGGTGGAGACTTTCAGGTCTGAAGAGCAAAGCTTTCTACATTCAGTAGGGTTTATTCACTATTTTGATTTAGTCAGGATGTAAATTTAAAGTCTGCATTAACCACAGAGCTCACTGGGATTCTTCCTGCTTCAGCAGGTTTGTTATGAGCATGTGACAGAAAGCAGATTCACTCTCAGTCTGACATCTCCTCTCAGCTGTTTCCTGTCTCCTGTTCACAGCTGCACACGTCTAAGAGTTCTTCTGTGGCACCTTGATGGTCACCTGACAACAGACAAACACAAGGTTCACACTCAGGATTTAACATGAAATACATTCGTTAACTTTCAGTTCATACAGGCATGTTATCAGTCTCTGCGTTCACCTGTGGTTATTAAAGAAATTAATCTCCATCTTTAAATCTGGTGTCAGTTATTTCCCAGTCTCGGCAGGGTGAACTGATTAGATTTTGGTGGTCAAAGGTCAAAGTCACTGTGAGCTCACAAAACATGATTTTGGCCATAACTCACAACTTCATTGACTAATTATGACCCAATTTAACTTAAGTGTGTGTAAGGATAAGATTAGGTGATGACATTTTATATCCAAAGGCCAACTTCACTGTGACATCATAATGTTCTGTAAAATCACTTCTGGCCATTATTCAATGCTGTAACTCAGGAAGGAGAGGCTGTGACCATATTTCCTGTAACATGACTGGATGGTGGAGGAAACAACTGCGAGGTGGTGATTCTAGTTTAAACAAAAATAATAATACACACAGTCTTTCTCTTTGCTAAGACACTTAATTTAGCTCAGGTGCCTCCAGTTTCTCTTGATCATCCTGATATTGGAGATCCTGTGTGGAGATGGAGAAACTTCCATCTTTACACATCATGTCCAATCAGCTGGGTTTACCACAGGTGGACTCCAGTCAAGGTGTAGAGAGAGAGATCAAGAGATGATCCAGAGAAATGGAGGAACCTGAAGTGTCTTCATACTTTACTTTTTAATACAGTGGTTCCCAACCACCAGGCTATGGACCAGTACTGGTACAATTGCCTAATAACAGGCTATTATTGCAAACATATCTAAAATTCTGTTTTCATGTTGTCATGGTGGTGTAACGCTGTAAGATAAGAACATGTGAAACAGTGACAGGGTCTGAAGACTTTCTGAATGAACTGTACGTGTGTATATTTGAAGTTTTTACCGTCTTGACTTCTGTGTAGTTGTCTAGACCGTACTCTCCCAGCTCTCTGCCGTTACCTGAGGCCTTGTAACCTCCAAACGGAGCCTGGGCCCCAAACACGTCATAACAGTTAATCCTGCAGACACACACACACACACACACACACACACACGAATAAATTTAATAAACAGTTCTGCAGGAATGAGCTCCTAAACCCAGACTCTTAGTTTGCATTTTAGCCTCTCAGATTCCCTCGTCCTGAAGTCTCTGGGTTGTTGAATGTGTTTTTGGTTCGATCACTGAAATAAGGTCTGTGTTAACACAAGCTCAAGTCATTTTGACGTTTTATATAAAATACGTCAGTAAATACCCCAGTTCTGAGTTCAGTCCTGGTTTCTTTAAGCTTTTACGTCTCTTAAAAAAGACCGGTTGCTAATGAGTGGAAATGAGACTGCAGAGGTTGTCGGGGACGTTAAACGTCATCACAGTGAACATGAAAACTGATCTACTCACCAGTCCACCTTCACAGCCTCGTTGTGTTTATACAAACTGTTACTGACTTTGTAAGAGGAAAGGCTTTTGTAGAAGGTCAGAGCTAAAAGTTTAGTGGTGGTGATGTTGAAGTCATGTGACCGTGGTGTAGTTGGTTTATGGTCTAACAATAGCTTTTTACTTCTGCTGATTGTATTTAGGCTTCAAACATCATGAAGTGGTGTTCATTAGTGAAGATGATCCTGCTGAACTAAACCTGTCAGTCTCAGATTATTTCTGTAATAATCCAAAAGACAATGGAAAAATCCCACTGGCTGTTTATGGAGGGAACCGGCGTGATGATAACTTCAGGGTTGGACTACAAGAATACATCATCCCTGCAGCACTGTATAAAGCCTCCGTTATCAGGTATCCAGACACCATCATAAAATCTCTCCTTATTGCTGTTAACAGCTGCTGCAGGTTTTTACACAGTATGATCTTTCCTCTGACAGTCAAACAACCACCTGGATGAGTCTGAAAAACATCTGTCTAACACTGAAACACTCAGCAGCTCCAGATGTAGCGACAGACCTCCTCCTCTTATCAATCTGTGTGAATGCACCACAGCAGCCTGCAGCAGAGCGACTCCGTCATCTCATCTGTAATTCTTTTTTTTCCAGTTGCAAATTGTAACTTGTCACGTGAGCAGCGACAGTGGGGAGTGAAACAGGCCAGAACTACACAAACAAAAACCATAAATCACTAACTCTCACCAGACTGTGCCGGCACGCAGCCCATTGGAGACGTAGTGGGCCTTATCGATGTCCTTGGTGAACACAGCGGCTGCTAGACCATATTTACTGTCATTGGCTCGCGTCACCACCTCCTCCAGGTTTTTAAACTTCAGGATCTGCATCACTGGACCAAAGATCTGCAAGAGGAAACATGAATGACGAGAAATAAATCAACGTAAGACACATGAGCAAACCGTTTAAAAGGACCAGTGTTCAGGGTTTATGGGATCTATTCATGTTTTCATGAATGAATAATCACCTGACATTAAGATTGTTGTGTTTTCTTGGATGTCGCCATGTTTACAGTAGCTCAGAATGGACAAACCACACACTGTTTCTACCTGAAGGCCACTGTAGGTTCTCCTACATGTTTGAAAGGGGGAGGGGAGGGATATTCAGCTGGTTGCAATCTGCAACCTCACCACTAGATGTCACTAAATCCTTCACATTGGTCCTTTAATAAACACAACAGACATCTTTACATTCTCTCCTCCACCTCTTTCATCACACACCTGCAGGAACCAAACCACAAGAGAAAATAGGTGATCCCAATTGTCATGTTATCAATTAAGCATAGAGATTCTGACCAAGTACAAGTGTTTAATCAACTTCCTTCACTTGTTCCTTCACTTGTTCACTGAGAGGGAGAGGAGATGATTATTCACAGCACTTTGACGACATAACATGAATGAAAATACGGGACAAATTGCGTCCCATATTGGTTCAATACAGGACGCAGCATTTTATTTTCAAATGCGGGACGATCTCGTATTATACAGGACGGGTGGCAACCCCAGTCAGCGTTAAAGTTATTTAATTTTTTATTTAGGTTTTTATGGTTCTTTATCATTTTTATTTTAATGGTTACATTTTTTCATGTTCATTTATATTTTTAGAATCCTACTAACGTGAACATTTAGAATAAAAAAATGTTTTGATTTTGTACATTTTTCGTTGGTGTCAGATTATCTATTACATAATGGCAATGAAGGCTGACACCTTGCTGTGTTCAGTGTAATGATGACACGGTAAATGGATTCCTAAAAAGAAAATATATACAGTATATATAGCAACAATGATCAAATATATTTATAACAATGTCTATTTCACTTTATTTCTCAGTAGAGTTCAGTACTGTCCCACCTCCTCCCTGGCGATGGTCATGTTGTCCTGGACGTCTCCGAACACAGTGGGCTGGATGAAGTATCCTCTGTCTGCAGCCACTCCTCCTCCACACATCAGCTTGGCTCCCTCTCTCTTCCCGCTGCTGATGTAGCCCAGAATCTTGTTGAACTGCTCCTGGTCTACCTGGACAGGCGATCACACAGGGAGCGGCATCGACATCGGCGGCATATATTGTTTTTCTCTTTTTCTTACTTTAAAGGTTTTTCATTATTGTTTGTCCCTAAATGCAAAATCAATAAAATATTAGTCATTGATCTTTTTAGTCCTGGCCCTGATATAAACACAATATATTCATAACAGTGTTGGGATATGTGATGTGTGAGATAACTTCAGGGAGGTTATGTGTTTTTGATAGTGTGTGTGTGTGTGTGTGTGTGTGTGTGTGTGTGTGTTACCTGAGGTCCCTGCTCGGTCTTTAAGTCAAAGGGGTTTCCCACCACTCGTCTCTTAGCTCGCTCCACGCTCCGCTCCACAAACTCATCGTAGATGTCAGCCTGGACGTAGGTCCGAGAGCCGGCGCAGCAGCACTGGCCCTGGTTGAAGAACAGAGCGAAGTGCGACTGTTCCACTGCGTCTTCCACTGGAAGAGACAGAGACAAGGAACATACTCAAAGAAGAAGTCAAGAACTGAGCAGCTGAAAGTAAATTTGACCTTTTTTCTGCAGACTTGAGCTGAGACTGTAAATAAAGATGGACGTAGCCTCTGTGATATCACCCACAGGTTTCTGAAGAGAGGGTTGAGCAGCTCGGAGTGAGCTGCTCAACCCTCCCCATCTTTGCAGTTCCTGACTCTGCCACTAACTCCCAGCTAATCCAAAAACGGACAGAGAGGTGGGGCGTGTGTGGAGCTGAGACTTCGATGCATGCTAGTTTGTGGCAAGCATACGCTCACCCACCTGACACTCAAAGAGGCCACGCCCTCAATTATGCAGAAGTTCTATCAAAGTTCAC